CCTCATTTAGGAATTGCTGTGTTTTGAAAATTTTTAGTTGTGATATTACAATAGTATATTGGGTTGGTATTCTTGTGGAGTAATGGAGTTGCTTTGTGATTGTCCCTATAATGTCACTAGATGAGGTATTGAGTTATGAACGAGATTTAAGGAAGATACTAATTAGGTGTATAGTGATTATGAGTTTCCTCAGATCCTTGGAATTTTTATAAATTATTTATTATTTTCATACTTATGCTATCAGTAGACTTCATTTAAGAATTGCAGTCTTCTGAAAATTTTTAGTTGTGATATTATAATAGTATATTGGGTTAGTATTCTGAAGTGAAGTAATAGAGTTGCTTTGTGATTGTCCCTAGAATGTTACTAGATGAGGTAGATTCGATATTTTTATCGGTAATGGGTTATGAACTAGATTTGACGAAAATACTAATTAGTTGTATAGTGACTATGAGTCTCCTCAAACCCTCGGACTTATTATAAATAATTTATTATTTTTATACTTATGCTATCAGTAGACTTCGTTTGAGACCTTGCAGTGTTTTGAAAATTTGTAGTGTGATATTATTATAGTAAACTGGGTTGGTATTCTCGTGGAAGAATAAAGTTGCTTTGTAATTGTTTCTAGAATGTCACTAGGTGAGGTAGGTTCGATATTTTTATCGGTAATGGGTTATAAACGAGATTTGACGAAGATACTAATTAGTTGCATAGTAAGTATGAGTCTCCTCGGAATTATTGTAAATAATTTATTAATTTAATTGTAGTAATAATACAAGTTTAATAATTTGGTCCAGGATAGATGTGAATTGAGCTTATAAACTGGATATGTGGCAGTGACTATAAATCATATAATCACTGCTTAAGCATCGTTATGCAATCCTCAATTTCTTTAAAGTGCCCTAAGAGGACTGTGCAAGCATCACTTGGTACTAAAACGTAATTAAATGATTTCGTTTTATTAAACCACGAAATAGACATGATGCACAGTCTATCTATATAATTTGAACAATGACTATAACGACTGTTTCCTGAAATAGTCCATATAGTCACGATTTAAGCCACTGTATATGAACTCTAATTTTCCCAAACGAAAGATGCAAGCAGTATTTGATTCCATAATTTAAATAAAATTGTATATTTCATTTTAACAGTGACTAGAAGAATTATTTCCTAAAGAAACTTATATAGTCGCAATTTAAATCTGGAATTACTGAATACAAGGACCATTTGACCTTGGAGCATAAAGAAATGATTACATTGCTGGCTTAATATATGCATAGCCTTAGTGACTATAACGATTCAAGCTCCCATATCTGAACTCTAATTTCCCCGAAGCACTTACTATAAATAAACGAACTCCCCTCGCAGAATTCATTTATAAATTTGCCAAATATATTCAACCTTAGTCTCCCAATGCATACTAACGATGACTATAAGCTCTCTTTTCCATTATGACCCTTATATTTAAACCTTATAAAAATAACCCACTATTTAAACTCGAATTTTTCGAAAAATTGAAATACGAGACTACGTTTACTCCGAAAATATAAATAGATACATCTCGCAGGAGTATTCTATAGACTCAACATAGGCAAGCCTACCCTCTATCAATATGCATTGTACAATACTAACAGTGACTATAAGGTCCGTTCCCCGAAATAACCCATATAGTCGCGATTTAAAGAGCAGCACACGAGTCCCCAAGTTCCCCACAGTGCTACGAGAGGCAGGGTCGCCACTGTGCCAGTTTAATTTCGCATTGACGTAGGTCCAGGGAGCTGCATTGTCTGTCCGCCGCGTGGTACGGTGTGTTCGCATGCGTAACACACAGGGCCGTCGCGTTGCGAACCGGGCTTGATGCGTGAGCCCGTTCTTTGTTTTATCCTCACGTGAAGTGGCCGCGCACAAACACGAGTGTGTGCGGACGCACGCGCGCACGTGCGCCTCGGCCGACGATCAGAGGGTGAAATTAAAAATACCGTGAAACCCTCCCTTGCCGGCCGTCTCTATGTTTTCCTCTGACGCGTTCAGGGCCGTCGAGCACGAAAACGGAGCCCCGTTTTCCTTTTGCCCGCTCGATCGAGGCCACACCGCTGATTTATAGGGTATTTACCCTTCTATTTATGGGCTGGCTGGACGGTTCTAATGCTGCTCTCGCAGGGGCTACGATTATTGTTATTATTAATAAAAGGTCGCGGTGGCCAGGTCGTGCAGTTTCAGTCCGGCAAGAAATTTCGTCGAATTTACCATATATCTCAGTTAACGCTAGGATCACTCGTTTGTAATGGTCAATATAATATACGTGGATAATGATATTCAAAATGGTATAGAGAAATTAAAAAAGCACGGACAATTACGTTCCTGCAGGAAGAATTGCGTATCTTCGTTAATCGTGATAATAAAATATTCAAAACTAGTCATTTTAACTCCTTTCCTAATTCTGGTATTGAAATCGGTGGGTGTAGTTAGGTTAGGAGAGGTTAGGAATTTCTGAGGTACATGGAAATAATTATTTCCTATTTTTCACAAGTAATTGTTCTTCGAATATCGTTACGGACGTCTTCGTGGAATTCACGGTAATTTTGTGACAGAAATGCAAGAGATTCTATCGTTCCATTGTCTCTGTTAGGTTAGTTCCGAATTTGCCGCGACTTAACCTCAAAGTGCGTTTGATGTTCAGAAATTTGCGATAATTTTATGACAGGAGTACGCGAGATTTTATTGTCAGCACCGAATTTGCCGAGACCTAACCTCAAAGTGTGTTGGAGGCTGAGAATTATCGTACGTCAGTGTTTTAATTTGCGCGATATTTTCTTAATCGAGGAACAAGGGAAACGTTTCATTATTAGAACGAGCAGTCATAGACATATTAAATTCATCAAGTTCGTGACGGGTTTGCTTGGATCGTTCGAGGATCTCAGGCTGCCTGTGCGTTCCACTTTGCCTGCGTATTCCGTGGAAATTAATTTTCTGGCTCCTAAGAGAAATGCATGTGCATTAAGAGCAATGTGCGCCGCGATCCTCCGACAAACACGCGCCATTCCATTTCGAAGGATATTACGTTCCCGTCTCGTTTTCTTCGGCTGAAAATTGCAAACCTTTGCCAGCTCCTAATTACAATGGTTAATATTATTAATAGCGAAATTTCTCTTTCTTTTTTCAAGCAGTTATCAGTCATTTACATGGCAAGACGTATTATGAGAGGTTAATAGATAGCTTTTACTACCCGATGTCTCAACCTAACCTCCAAATGAATTAACCTAGAAAAGAAAGTCTCTTTGCGTAGTGCAGTTATATCACAGTTACTGACTATCGTAGTATGGCAATTCTTATATGTTCAAAGTCCCTAGAGACAAAGTCATTTTTATTCTTAATTTCAGGAAATATATTCGCGTGTTATAATTACATTGGAGTGAGAATGTTCTAGAATTTTTGAGAATTTAATAAATAATTCTTTTATTAGTTTCATTAATCGTTCAAGATATTTCGACCTAACGAGATACTAAACTGGTTTTTATCTATACTATTCTTTCAAAGTCCCTAGGTACCAGATAATTCGTATTGTTAACCTCAAAATTGACTTGCTCTAACCTCAAAACAGGAAATATTTTTGCGTGTTATAATCATATTAGAGTAATTTGAACGATGTCTTATAATTTTTAGGAATCTGATAAATAACTCTCTTGTTACTTTAATTATTTTTTCAAGATATTTCGATTTAACGAGACACCAAGCTCCAGATAAAATTATTTTGATACCCGGCAAGTCATATCGCAATGACCACACGATATTACCTGTTACTGATTGATAAACAAATTACGGGACATAAAATTCCCTATTATGAGACTCAAGAGAGACCCTAGAATTTTTATTAGAAGAATCTAATAAATAATTCTCTTATTATTTTCATTACTTAAAAATATTTTGACTTAACGAGATACCATGCTCCAGATAAAATTACCTCTCGATACTCGGCCAGTCATATCTTAGTGACAACACGATATTACCTCTTCCTAACTTGATAAACAAATTATGGGACATAAAATTCCCTAGTATAGGACTTAAGAGACACCGATCACGAAATTCAACTCACCTTGCACATTCCCTTCACACTAGACACTATCACAACACCTTTCCTATCCCGAACGACACTTTTGCGATATCCCAATTCGATGATACTCGTAATATCATCGCCTAATTTCGCGCGGCAGAGTGGAAGGACAACAGTGTCCCTAAAATGGCCCCGTTTCTCTGGTTGCAGATGGTGGTGGTGGTTGAGCACCCGGGGGAGGAGGGCGGCTGCGGGGCCCAGGGCGATGTGGCTAGCAAGTGGGAAAACTCGAGGAGGTGATAACGACTTCTGACCTTCCGTGAGAGCGCGTGCCGCGGCGTAGAGGGCGCCGCCGTCGATCGTCAAGCGAAAGGCTCACCATTCGGAAGAAAACGAGGAGGAAGAGGAAGAAGAAGAAGAGGAAGACGACGAAAACGAAAACGACGAAGACGAAGACGACGACGACGACGACGACGACGACTACGAAGGAGAAGAAAGAGAAAGGGTGGAGAGGCGAGCTCTAAAGGGGAGCCGGTGGAACACACACGTGCTTTGGGAGAGAATATCGGCAGCGGGGAGGCAGGGAGAGAGCGAAGGAGAGGGAAGGGGTGGAAAAAGCAGGAGAACCTTGAAAAGTAGTCCCTTCCCCGCGGGCAGAGTTGGCCAGACGAGCACACACACACAAGACATTCTCCTTGCAGCGGGATATCGCTGTATCGCTCCTACGTTTTAAAACTTCTACCTTGAGAACATATACCTCGTGCGTACAAGTACCTTCAAACTTAAACCTCTTTCGCAGCGTAATAGTGCCTAGGCCCCTCCGAAGAACGCGACTACAAATAATAATAATACAAATAATAATAATAATACAAAATAATAATATTAATAATAATAGCAACGTTATATATATATATATAAATATTATATATATCTCTCTATACGGAAAGAGAAAGAGAGAGCGAAAGAGAGAGAGAGGGGAAGAGGAAGAAGAAAGAGAGAAGAAGGGAGGGAAATTTTAAAGGGATACGCGATAATAATAGTATCTAACGACGAGAAGAGAGTTTTAACGTTTTAATCGTACCGTTCGTTTGACGGGAAGTCACATCCCTGTATACACACACACAGTCGCGTGCACGTGTACGATACGCGCGCGCGCGGGCATACGTACACACGCACATAGACACAGCGCGCGTGGCACAGGCTCCCTCTAACCATCTGCATGTATACGGACGTGGACGTATGCGAGAGAGAGAGACAAGGTCGGAGAGAAGAGCGGACCCCTCGGATCGAGATCGACGAAGTTGCGATCGCTGAGCTCAGGACACAAGGCTGAGAGTGGAGAGATCGTGCGAGTGGTGGCGCGGTGGTGCGTCGATAGATCTTATCAGGAATTCTCGTTGATAACGGTACCTCTCCCCCTTCGAGCCCCTTAATCGATTCTATGAACCAGGACAGCGAAGTACCTGCAGACACAGATATATTTATAAGAATAATTTATATGATATATATATATATGAATATATTATATAAATAAATGAATATATAATACACACACCGATAGTAATAAAAGGAGTCGGTCAGGCGACAAGTAACAGCTAAGGGCAAAGAGAATAATAAATAATAACGATACCGATAAGAGTAATAATAAATAAGAGTAATAAACGATAGCTGCTAAGGGTAAGAGAAAGAGAGACAGAGAGAAAAAGAGAGAGAGAGAGAGAGAGAGGAAGAGAAGAGGAGAGGAGAGAGGAGGACAAAGGAAGGATCGTACAACAGTGTGAACGCTTAAATAATTCTAGAACACGCTACGGTTAGAGTACTTCTACTTTGTGGTTAATCTACTCAGCGATTGCGGGGCCTGTTCTACATATACGATCAAGGTGAGTCCAATGTTTTCCAGATAGTTCGTATATACGTCTTTCGAGGAGGTGGGGATACGGTGTTCCCGATTGGCCGGTTATTCGAATGATAAATTATTCCTCGTTATAGCTGTTCAAAGAGGTTTATTACGAAGAGATTGCAATGTTAGTTTCGTTTGTAAAGTTCAATAAAATATACAGGGTGTCTCAAAAGTTGGAATTATCGCGTTATTAAGAAAGACGCGATTTTTGTATCGGTGTTCGGTATGGTTTGATGTAACTCGAAGCATATCGTGATTTCGAAATTTTGTAATTTTTGAAGTTTTGATACGCGAGTTTTTGAAAAATTAATTTTTCGTTGGTAGACAAATTTTTTAATGTAATTAAAATCTAACTCGGTCTGTCAAACTGTTCTCTCTATTCTAAATCTTGGTATATACTGATACTTAATTTAATTCACGCCAAAGATTAAGGAAGAAATGAAGTATTTTCCAAAAAATCTTATTTTTGCTTCAAACTGAAATATCTCGTAAGAGATTGAACTAATTACAAAAATATTTTGACAAAATTTGCTTGGTATAAAATTCGTGCTTGTAAATAGAATCATACACATTTCTGCTCATAATGTGACAGCATTTGCCATACAAAACTATTTAGTAAAAGAAAATAATTATTATTAAGAAAAATGTTCGATTTAAAATAAATTACATATAATTTCACTTAGTCTAACTACTTTTATTAAAAAAATTATATTCATCATACCAAACAATTATTACAAAATCATTTTTTTAACACGTTCAATCCCTTTACAAAATTCTTCCACTGCTCAAAAAAAAAAAAATTCAAAAAGCGGTCTATAGAGGCTAAAAATACCACAGACCTCGTGGCCAAATTCTTCTTAGCATCCAAGAGAAAGGTATACAACTCAAACATCGATAAAGTAGATCCCTTAATCTCTGGAAGCAATCAGGTCCCCATCACGAGCCATCATAACACTTTCCACCGAATCCCGATGTCCGGGAACAAAGAATATCCGTGGCAAGTGGAGAAACGAATCCGCTTCCTCCCCGAGCCATGTGAAACCCGCGCGCGCAGAGCGAAGGTGAGACACTCGGGATCGATCGACACGTGTTGCGAAAATTTTTCTCACGCGGCAGAGATATCTCATCGGCGGCAGTGCTTTCTCGAAGAGCCCCGACAGGCGTTTCGTTAGCGAGCGTTCGATCCGGAAAGCGGGAACTTTTACCGGGCGCCTATCTGGCCGCGGGGATCTTCATTCTCGCGCGATAATTAGCGGCCACGGATGGACGAAAAGCGGCGATCCGCGCAAGGGGAGTCGCACGCTCGCGAGTGAAAGGTGGCCGATACCTCCTCGCGGTCTCTATCTGCCGCGTCGATCTCCTCGTTCCCCCTCGCTGTTCATTCGGCGTAAATTATCGTACGGAATTCTTTTTACCATCGCTGCTCGACATTCGGTCTCTACCCAGCCGTTCACTTTCACTCGTGCGCGAACGCACGCCGTTCCGCGACTATTATTCGACAGGCCCGTATGAAATTCACGTCCGAGGCCCTCCTGGCCTGCTTCTCGGGCTCTCACCCCGGTAGCCGCCGGTGTCGCCGCCTATTCGGATGCCTGGCGAGGCTCCTAGTCGCGTGGACCTAACCTGCATTTCGTATTCGGCCGCGCCGAACGTAACCTCAATCTACGCAGGATCTCGCTCGAGATACACTCCGGCTGCGCGCGCACCTCTATACGCTGCGGCGTTCATGGCGGACAGACTAGTATCCTGGGATACGTGCTTATAGGGTCTTTGTGACTAGCGTTGCATTGCATTCAAATTTTTTTTTGAATTTCTTTTTGGTTTCGGATTTTACTGTTCTCCAGGAAATGGTTTATACGTCTTTCTTTTAAATTTTATATTATGGTTGATGTAGAGAGGTTAGGGGAACAGATCAGTGACACTGTGAATATAGAGAACGTGCCTCCTGAACGACTTTCTGCTTTTCTGTTATTAAATATTCGATTTGGGGTGGACCTGGGTTTGGTTTGATATTGAGTTAGGTTAGATCTGTATCATCAAGCTGTGGTTTGTTTTCATTTCATTTCATGGTTGATATGGAGAGGTTAGGGTAACAGATCAGTGACGCTGTGAATCTAAAGATGGTGCTTCTTGAACGACTTTCTGCTTTCCTGTTATTAAATATTCTATTTGGGGTAGACCTGAGTTTGGTTTGATATTGGGTTAGGTTAGATCTGTATTATCAAGCTGTGGTGTTTTTCAATTTCATTTCATGGTGGATATAGAGAGGTTAGAGAAACAGACCAATGACGCCGTGAGTCTAGAGAACGTGCTTCCTGAAAGACTTGCTACTCTTCTGTTATTGAATATTCGATTTTCGATAGAGCTGAGTTTGGTTTGACATTGGATAGAGTTATATTCCTGTGAGTTCCTTTATACGTTTGGTAGGATTACCAAACTACATCTACTTTGAATTGCTCGAATGTCTCGTAATGAAAGAACATCTGGGATTTATTAAGAGAGATAGAGCAAGGCTTTGTTTGCTAGAAAATTGGATAAAAATTCGCTAAAATTTGATTTCTTTTATTTCGTTTGTATTCATCTTAGATGCACCTGTGATATCTCATAGATAATAGTCGAGATATTTTTAATTCACGCTTGTACCATATAGTATGCTCACCGATGCTAATGAAAAGTCCTTGGGGGAATTAATCATACCGTGACACAATGACATAGTCTGACATAGGTCTACTGTACTTCTTGAGCCATAATCGCTTTATCCGCCTCGTCATAATCAAATCAACGTATTTATTACACCCAGCTATACCCAAACGTGTTCTAATAATACACCATACATAATCCAGCAGATAATACATTATCCCTGGATCACAAAGGTATCTGGTCGAGTGATCATCCCTCGAAGAAACTATTCTCTAATCGGTAGCTCATAAACCACGATCATTCCATTCATCTCGTTGTAACAGTTTCATTGAATTACATCTTCACACTCCAAAAATATTTCATCATCCTCCAGAAACCTATACTCTAACATATCTGACATGGATCTACGACGTCTCGTTAGCCATGATCATTTTACTCGTCTCATCGTAATCGAATCAACACATTTATTACGTCAAACTATGTCAAGACAGATTCTACGCTTAATTCAACATTTAACTCCAAATCTAATATAGTATCTAGTCCCGGCAGAATCCCTAAAATATGCAGGATTCGGGTATATTATTATTTCAAATAGGGTTTATAGCGACATCGTTCTCATTCTCACCACTAGATGGATTCGGGATCCAAGGAGGTTCGAGGATTCTCGCAAGTGCTCGGTAAATCCTCTGATTTCTATATACAGAATTTTCTAACCTGTCAATAGTATCAGGACCTAAGACAGGGTCTGCTAACTTTACTGATGAGTCCATTAGCAGGCCCAGGACGAAAAGCTTCCCTTTCCTTTCCTTTCGTGCCCACCTCAAATAAGCAGACGCTATCGCAATACAGGGGGTACAACAATCAATTTTCACCGTGGGGTAGGACTCAGTTTATTTAAAATAGGGTTGAATTAAGATAGTGGATGATGAGCAGTGATATATGTATATAAAATTAATAGACAACACAAAAGACAACTCTATAGGACTCTTTTCACGAATTCTTTAACCACTTGCGCTGGAAAGACGTGTCACGCACGTCGTAATGCTTTTGTCACAGAATCGCCAACGACGTGGTATACATGTCGTTAGGCAATTGTTACAGAAACACTGGACCGTTCTGACACACGCGTCCGTGAATTTCTTGCCACCGCAAGTGGTTAAATCTCTCTTTGGATGCTTCGCACAATACTCCGTCAATAGGATCGTCCTTCGCCATTCCTAATTGTTCTTAAAAAGCTACCTTCACTCCGATCTCCAAAAATATTGTAAACCTATCAGTGGGTCTTATCTTTCGTGTAGTCCAGACACTTTCTCTTCTATGATCCTTTTCTCCTTCTCCTTGAGGGTCCTCAAGCTCAGGATGCTATACCATATTACACCTGGTACCTATTTTTATATCATCACAGGCATCTATGAGGCATCAATGAGTATAGGAACTACACGAAACTCGAAATTTCGCATATTAATCTGCAAATGGTGACCATTATTTTCACAGCTCTAGTGGTAACGTGACATCAAATAGACTCCCTGTCAATAACAGTGACTTGACGTCAAATTGACTGCCTGTCAATATTACAGGTGGCTTGAAGACAAATTGACTCCAATCTCGCTAGTAGTATATAGTACATAACGTCAATGTCACGTATCCTTAGGTACCTAAATCATGCAAGTATACTACTAGATACTTAGCTCTCACCACTGTCGATACGTAGTCAATTTGACGTCAAGTCACCACTATTGACAGCGAGTCAATTTGACTTCGAATCACTACTATTGACAGCGAATCTGTTTGACTTCCATTCACTACTATTGACAGGGAGTCAATTTGACTTCCAGTCACCACTATTGATAGCAAATCAGTTTAACTTCCAATCACCACTATTGACAGCGTGTCACTTTGATGTTACGTCACCACTGTTGATAACAAAATCTGACGTACATCATCACTAGTGTTAGGAGTCAGCTTGACCTACGTCACCACTCTAAGATTAAGCTCCGAAAAACACAATTTAGGTTAGGAAAGTATTGTTTCCTTGCGGTTCGGGGTACCTATAGTAAGTGAGACATTGGGGTCCAGGTGTCCTCGGAACTTAATACGAAAATACGCTATCTTCACACTCCAAAAATATTTCATCATCCTCCAGAAACCTATACTCTAACATATCTGACATGGATCTACGACGTCTCGTTAGCCATGATCATTTTACTCGTCTCATCGTAATCGAATCAACACATTTATTACGTCAAACTATGTCAAGACAGATTCTACGCTTAATTCAACATTTAACTCCAAATCTAATATAGTATCTAGTCCCGGCAGAATCCCTAAAATATGCAGGAT